CCACACCCCATACCCCCACACCCCATATCCCATGACCCCGTATCCCATAACCCCATAACCCCGTATCCCACATCACATAACCCCATATCCCATATCCATATGCCATGACCCCATATCCCATGACCCCATGATCCCATATCCCATAACCCCACCCCCCACACCCCACACCCCATGACCCCATACCCCATAACCCCACACCCCACAGCCCCACACACCGTTCCCTGGATGCGGGTCAGCATGGATGAACCCCGTGTAGAAGATTTGCTCCGCGAAAACCCGGATCAGTTTAGCAGCAGCCTGAAGGGGGCGGGCAGCCGTGTCCCCAAGGTGTCCCCATAATGTCCCCAAGGTGACCCCATGGGGTCTCCATAATGTCCTCATCATGTCCCCATAGTGTCCCCATAATGTCCCCATGTTGTCCCCATGGTGTCCCCTCAGTGTCCCTTCAATGTCCTCACAATGTCCCCATGATGTCCCCAAGGTGTCCCCAAGATGTCCTCATCATGTCCCCATCGTGTCCCCTCAATGTCCCATTGTGTCCCCATGGTGTCCCCATGGTGTCCCCATAATGTCCTCATCATGTCCCCATTGTGTCCCCATCGTGTCCCCATCGTGTCCCTATCATGTCCCCTCAATGTCCCATCATGTCCCCATGGTGTCCCCTCAGTGTCCCCATTGTGTCCCCCCCAGTATCTCCCCAGTGTCCCCATGACGTCCCCACTGTGTCCCCAAGGTGTCCCCATAATGTCCCCATCGTGTCCCCTCAATGTCCCATTGTGCCCCCGTGATGTCCCCATCATGACCCCATTGTGTCCCCTCAGTGTCCCCACGGTGTCCCCAAGGTGTCCCCATCATGTTCCCATTGTGTCCCCTCAGTGTCTCCATTCTGTCCCCATCTTGTCCCATTGTGTCCCCATAATGTCCCCATCATGTCCCATGATGTCCCTATGGTGTCCCCTCAATGTCCCCACTGTGTATCCCCAGTATCCCCCCAGTGTCCCCATGGTGTCCCCGTAACGTCCCCATCATGTCCCCATGGTGTCCCCTCAGTGTCCCTTCAATGTCCTCACACTGTCCCCTTTAATGTCCCCATGGTGTCCCCATAACATCCCCATAACATCCCCATAATGTCCCCATGCTGTCCCCATGGTGTCCCTTCAATGTCCCCATGGTGTCCCCATTGTGTCCCCATTGTGCCCCCACCCTGTCCCCTCAGTGTCCCCTCAGTGTCTCCATGATGTCCCTTCAATGTTCCCATGGTATCCCCATTTTGTCCCCATTATGTCCCCATTTTGTCCCCACACTGTCCCCATGATGTCCCCGTGGTGTCCCCTCAATGTCCCCGTTGTGCCCCCATTGTGTCCCCACAATATCCCCTCCATGTCCCCACAGTATCTCCATTATGTCCCCATTTTGTCCCCATTGTGTCCCCTCAGTGTCTCTTCAATGTCCCCTCAGTGTCCCCATGATGTCCCCATGCTGTCCTTGTGCTGTCCCCATGGTGTCCCCACGATGTCCCCACGCTGTCCCCTCCCCCCCCCCCGCTGTCCCCACTCACATCACGTGGGTGCAGCCCCTGCTGCCGGATCCCCTCCACGTTGGTGATTTTGCAGCCATCACAGAAGTCAGCCGTGAGCACGCGCTGGGGACAGTGGGGACATTGGGGACGTTGGGGACACTGGGGACAAGGGGGACGTTGGGGACAGTGGGGATGATGGGGATGTTGGGGACATTGGGGGCATTGGGGACACTGGGGACGTTGGGGACAGTGCGGATGATGGGGATGTTGGGGACGCTGGGGACAATGGGGACGGCAAGAACACTGGGGACACTGGGGGGCAATGGGGATATTGGGGACATTGGGGATGTTTGGAACAATGGGGACAATGGGGGCAATGGGGGCAATGGGGGCATTGGGATACTGGGGATGTTGGAAACATTGGAGATATTGGGGACATTGGGTGCAATGGGGGCATTGAGGACATTGGGGACATGGGGACATTGGGGACAGCGGGGACACTGGGGGCATTGGGGACGTTGGGGACACTGGGGACAATGGGGGCAATGGGGACATTGGAGGCATTGGGGACAATGGGGATGTTGGGTACACTGGGGATGTTGGGAACATTGGAGATATTGGGGACACTGGGGACATGGGATGTTGGGGACATTGGGGACAATGGGGGCATTGGGAGTAATGGGGACAATGGTGGCAATGGGGACATTGGGGACAGCGGGGATGTTGGGGGCAATGGGGACAATGGGGACAATGGGGACAATGGGTCCCCCCACAGTTCCCATATCCCAGTCCCCTCTGTTCCCCCACTGTCTCCCAGTCCCCCCAGTATCCCCATTGTCCCCACCATTCCCAGTCCTCCCAGTATCCCCACTGTCCTCCCAGTCCCCCCAGTATCTCCCAGTATCCCCAGTCCTCCTAGTCTCCCCACTATCCCCACTGTCCTCCCCGTTTCCCCAGTCCCCCCAGTATCCCCCAGTCCCCCCAGTATCCCCATTGTCCCCACCATCTCCAGTCCTCCCAGTATCTGCACTCCCCCCAGTATCCCCCAGTATCCCCAGTCCTCCCAGTATCCCCATTGTCCCCACCATTCCCAGTCCTCCCAATATCCCTACTGTCCTCCCAGTCCCCCCAGTATCTCCCAGTATCCCCAGTCCTCCCAGTATCCCCCAGTATCCCCAGTCCTCCTAGTATCTGCAGTCCCCCTAGTATTCCCCAGTATCCCCAGTCCCTCCAGTACCACCAGTATCCCCAGTCGTCCCAGTATCTCCATTGTCCCCACCATCCCCAGTTCGTCCAGTCCCCCCAGTATCCCCAGTCCTCCCAGTATCTCCATTGTCCCCACCATCCCCAGTCTCCCCAATATCCCCACTGTCCTCCCCGTCTTCCCAGTATCCCCCAGTATCCCCAGTCCCTCCAGTACCCCCAGTACCCCCAGTATCCCTCCATCCTCTCCACCCCCCCCAGTCCCCAGTATCCCCAGTATCCCCAGTCCCCCCAGTCCCCCCCCAGTGCTCCCAGTGCTCCCAGTGCACCTTGCTGCAGAGCTCCCAGTGCACCCGCGGCACCACGACGAAGCCGAAGTGCTTCAGGTCCCGGGCGCAGCGCTCCGCGTTCCTCCCCTCGTGCTCAAAGTCCAGCTCCTGAGCCAGCGTCCCGCGGAGGTCCTGGGGGCCACGGGGGGCAGCGGGGGGGGACAGCGGGGGGACAGCGGGGGAACGGTGAGGGGACAGCAGGGGGACATTGTGGGGACAGCAGGGGGACAAAATGGGGACAGTGAGGGGACAGCGTGGGGACAGCGTGGGGTCAGTGAAGGGACAGTATGGGGACATCGG